AGTATTTATAATTTACTGGTTTAGTTATATGCTTTCTTTCTTTTTCTGTATAGAATGGAAATAAACTGACTAATAATTGGGAAATCCACCCTATCATTTAAGAGCCATGTAATATCTATATAAACATTTCTGAATCCTAATATTAAAAACAAATAACTAATCCCTGTCATGTCTCTCTTAGAGGACTATAGTATGAATAATATGGCATCATGTATGTCAGTCTATTCATTAATACTATATGTTAAACATTTTATAAAGCATTGGATAAATAGCACATTGGGAAGAATCATGGGGGGAATTTCAAATATAACATATGGAAAAGCTTCTTAGGGTCATAAATGGTTTCCATTTATTGAACTTTTACAGTTACTAGGCACACTTCCATGGGCTTTATAGTCATTATTTCATTTAAGTCCTTTGACACTTGTGATGTTATTGCTACTGTTAGCGATGAGGAAAGAGGCTCCGAGAATCATGTACTTCAGGCATCTTTTAAGTACCTATCATTTTCCAGAATACATTGTAAGCTCAGTAAGTGTATTGCCCTGCCCTCATGGAATTAAATTCTAGAAGAGAAGACAGATATTAACCAAATATTCATGCAGATTAATACCTTTCTATTTAACATATGTAATAGATTATAAATATTTAAAAATAAATTTATAGATAAATAGATATATTTATAGATAAATTATTTTTAAATAAATAAATAGTTTCAGATAAATATTCACAACTGTCTTAAGTGCTATGATGGAAAAACTCCTTGTGAAACAGGAAACTAATGGGAAACTTGACTGGGAGATGAGGGCAGCTGCCCTCAGAAATAGAAGTAATATTTGAGTTAAAATCTGAAAGATGAGCAAGCATTAAGAGTATAGTGGGAGTTGATTGGTGGGCAGGTTGAGGGGCTCTGCCCAATGATTGCCTGACTGTGAATGGGATTATAACTCAAGATTCTCAGTTGGTCAGATGGAGAGTTCACACAGACCTGAGTCCACTTCCTGTGACTTTATTAGTCTGTGTCCTTAGGAAGGGTACTGAATTTACCTCCACCTTAGTTTCCTCATTTGTGAAATAAAGGTAATAATAGTACCAACCTCATGGTATTTTCTGAGGATTAAGAGAGCTAATGTTTGTAAAGTATGTGACATTAGTTAAGTGGAAGATGGCAAATATCCAGTAAATCTGGCTATTATTAATGATAATAGGTAATAGGTTACTGTTTTAAATTTTAAAATCCTACCTTTGAAAGAAGAAAAGACAGAGGAATAAAAAGAGATGATTGCTTCTCTAGCCCGTTTGAGGGCTTCCTTCTGTTCTTGGGGTCTTTCCTGTATACCCTACGCCCACAAACTCTGTCGGGTCCCTGAACACAAGGACTCTGCCATCTGTTTGCTGCCACTTAACACAATACTTGGCTCCAAAATAATGGTTTTTGCATAGTGATAATATTTGAAGCTGTAGGTGGGGATAGAATTGCCACATTAAAAAATGAGAGCCTGCCCATGGGAAACACCTGTATTTATTTACAGTGGAGAGAGAGTGAGAAGTTGTTGCCCGTAAAACTAGGATAGTTGGTCTCTATAGCCCGGGAATGAAGGAAGAGTGCCGGAAGCTGCATTGAGGTTGGGAAGACCAGGAGAGTAGAAAAGGGGACCAAAATTAATGAGAACATTCCTTTTGGAGAAATTTTCAGGAACGTGTGGGACAGAAACCAGATTGCAAAATTAAAATGTAGGTGGTGGTGCAGAAGTGGAAGCAGTAGGTGTTGGGTGCGTGGATTTTTCTTTCAAGAAATCCATGGTAAAGGTAAGCAGAAAGAATAATTACTTTTAATAAATTGCAGGCTTAAGAAAATTCATTATTGTTCTGGGGGATTTGGCAACACTGATCGTGTAAGAGTTGAGGAAAGATACACAGAGCACTCCTGATGAGGCATGGAGAGGTTGGTAGCCTGAGATAGCCAGACCTTCATGAAGATCCCTGATATATAGGTGGGAACAGTCTGACTAAACTGTCTACTCCTTTCCTGGTGTCCCCCGTTCTACCACTTCTTCCTAAGCTCTGGATTTTCTACAGGTGAGAGTGCTCAGCACTTGAGTGGGAGAAATTCACATGTTGGCTGAATGAAGGACAAACTGAATGTACCCACAAAAATTGAAAGTTTATCCATTTTTACTCTTCCCAGCTGTCTCATTGTAAAGCATGCACATTTTTGAGGCTTAACTGCTTTAGATAATTTTATGACAATTTATTTTCTTTAATTGTGGATGAGTTGGCAAGTGATCACATTGGTTCTGTTTTGTTGTGAATAAATAGTATGTCAAAGTTTTATGCTGTTTCAAAAATGTTATTTAGAATAAAACTTCCTTTGAAGCCACAATAGTCTCTTACTCAAAATATTTATTTAGACCATATTGTTTAAATATATATAATTCCCTTAAGAAACAATTATAGTCTGTAAAAATCTGAATTTAAAACAAATAGATCTTCTGGGATTCATAGAAATACAAAATGGATATTCCAGTGTTTAAGTGTTTATATACAAAAGGAGTTGAGGTGTTCCAATGTTTGTGTGTTTAGGTACAAAAAGTGTAGAATTTATTAAAAAAAAAAAAAAAAGGATGATGATCTTAATTCCCAAATGTGCCAGATGTATAAAGTTACTTAGGTAGAGAAGTAACTGATAAACTGTTAAATCATAAATTGGTTTAGAGCAAATGAATAAATGATTTAATCAGCAAATAAATAATTATACATAATAATAATGCAAATCTTCAGTCTCTTAACTTATTCTGTCCTGAATATAGCAATAATTAAAATTGACAAAAGTGTGCTTTAAACACAATATGAAATTAGGCTATTTTTGTAAAATAATTAAATATCAAATTAATGATTTAAAAAATATATATCTCGTGTTGGAGTTAACATATAATCCTTGAGAAATCACTTATTTTTATTGGGAATTTTTAAATTTTGATAAAGCAGAGGTGGTTTTTTTTGGTGTATTTTTGAAAGCTTTTATTACTTTGTTCACATTACATGAATATTTTAATGTCAATGTGGTTGCCGTATCTGAATTTATAACTAGATAATTTGTTAAATGCCTTTTTTTTTAGTAGAAACACCTCCCTCTAAACTATTTTGTTTGGGTTTGGGTTTTGACCACATTACAATCAAGTTGTGAGTTTGTTAACTAATGAACGTGTTATTTAAAGAAACTCTTTCTGACCTGTTCCGTTCTGATATATTGTTCAGTCAGTAAACTATTAAAATTGAAATAAGAAATTTTGGGAGAAGTATTTCCTCTTATAACCTACAAATACATATATTGTATATTATTCTTGCTTAGTCAGCATTTCCTTTGGTGTCCCTATTTCTTATTACTAATTCTTCAAATTACGATACATACAGCAAAGTTTCACAATCTGGCTAATATGTAATTGGACTATTGGCATTGGAAGACAAAACCTGAAATATCAGGCAGATTATACAATTGCGTGTTTCCCTAGTGGTAATGGAGCAGCAAATTAGAGGTGGAGGTGAGCTAAGTAAGGAGTCTATCATGAGGATTCTTACTGCAAACCGAATGGGGAAACTATAGATTTAATGTTCATTAGTGAAAGTGAAATACTTCAAACTTGCCTGATAAGGAACAGCAAAACCCCGTCCAATCTTACTCTCTTTAAATGGAATTGGCCCAACTGTGTTAACAATATCTAAAATACTGTCTGTTATAAGTGAGACAGTTTATACAAAAATCCAAATGGTTCCAGGAATATGACCATCTGGAAGCTGTGTTAAGTGAGCAGAGCTTTCAGTCCTAGAACTGCAGTTTCAGATAGTTCCAGCCTCTCCTCCAGACACCACTTCCCCACCCCAAATCAGTAAGCAATAATTGCATCTAAAGCTGTAGAGAGATCTTTTCCTGGCAGTTCAGATAGTTACAGTAGATTGTTAATCTATGAATGATCAGACTAAATCCCTTCTGTCTTCAGAATGTCCATGCAAATTAGAACTAAATGTATGAGATAAATTTATTAACTGTAGTTTGGGGGCATAAGGTCAGCTTTAGCACAAGTTTTAAGCATAGGTTTTTATCCATTAAAAGTTACACTTATGCTAATTTTCTGTGGATTCACTTTATAATATAAACTGGTGAGATTATTTTAAAAAGTGATTGTGAAGAAATGAAAGATTTTTGAGTGTGTTTTTCAGTTTTCTAAGATCCAGTTGGATTGTTACCGATATAAGATGTTTACCTAAATGGCTTTTCCTATTACACATCTGATCTAGAAACAAATTTAAACTTTGTTTCTTACATCACCAATAAAGTAAAAGAAAGCCCGTTTTGTATTTTTCAAAATAGGAATGAAAATGAAATTAATATATCAAAATGGAAAAACAAGGAATTGGAAAGTAGATAAATAATACCAGAAGTATGTTAGATTTTATTGAGCCAACAGGGATGTCTTTTGAAGTGGATCTGAAAGATTAACAAAGCATCTAAGTGAAACTCAGCAAAAGAAAAGTAACATTCTAATAATAATATTGGTTTGTCATATTTTACTTTCACCAACATTTCACTTGAGCATTATTGTACTAGAATGTATTTTCTGCATTATTGCCAAGTGGATAAACTTAAATGGGAATATATAATAGCAGCAATATTTTTTTCTGTTTCTGTTTGGGATCCCTAGCGTTACAAATCAAGCATCTTGTAGAATACACAATCCTTTATTCTTACTCTGCTTGGTCTACATTTCTAATTTAAAGGTTAAATATAAATGACATGAAACATTCTATTAATGTATGAGCTTTTTTTTCTTAAATTTTTTCGGTAAGAGATTTCGATGGTATCCAAATTTATTTTTAAAACTCTCCAGGCCCCTACCAACATAAAGCCTTTAAAAATGGAAGTGGATGTTACTTAAAAAAATGGTGAAGAAATACAGTACCTTTGAACAGATGCTGATCCTTTTTTCCCCTCTATTTTTCAGGCCATCCGTTGCACACTGGTAAACTGCACGTGTGAATGTTTTCAGCCGGGGAAGATTAACCTGAGGACTTGCGATCAGTGTAAACATGGCTGGGTGGCACATGGTGAGAAAAATCTGGACTTTTCTTCCTGTTCTTGTTAGGTTCATGTGAATGTGCGTATTTTTTCAGAGCAGTCACTGCCCTGGAGAAGAGAGGGGTCAGCTGTGCTCCAAGAGCTAGTTAACATGCAGGCTGCAGCTCTCAAACAGCATGTTCTCGGCTCCAAGGAGTAAGGCTAAGCAAGCAGCTCTTAGCAGAAGAGTGCAATGTTTATAGGACAGTTGGGCCGTGGGGTTCTGACTGAGTGTGGCAGCAGCCAGCAAGCACCAGGCCTGGTGGAAACTCAAACATACCACAGTTGGCCTTTCAGGGCCTGTACCTCAGAGGGAAGCTGGCAAACCCTCTTTGCTTGAGGAGAATTCGTTGATGACTGCTCACCCTTGTCGTTTGCTTTTGAGGCTGCATTTATCCTCCCAGATGTTAAATTTTGTATGGTCCAAGGTAGGTGAGAGAGTGAACGGGAACATTGTTTGGCTAGTATCTGAAAAAAATAATGTGTAAATACCCCCTTTCAGTGTGCATCAGGATTGGAAGTGGCCGGTGTTGAGTGGGGGCTCTGCATAGGTGTGTCACCTGAGAGTGACCCCTGGTCATGGCTGCAAGTGTTGCTGCTTTTTGCCAGATGCACAGAGCTGTTCCGTCAGTGCAGAACATTGAGCGTTTAGTATGTTCTTATGTATGGTTTATGTGTATTACGTTTAGGCAAAAAGAGACTTAGAAAATAAGCAGACATTTTCTTCCTAGAATGTAGGATTTTTAAAGATAGGTAATGTTTATTAAAGAAGTCTTGGCTTGAGTGTTTTCTGACAGCCTGGGGTATTGGCTTCTCAGTCGACATATTCTTCATTCCCAAGCTGTGCCAAATATCCAGTGGGTTGTATTTTTATAAATGTCATGTTATTCTAGCAAGATCTGAGGTAACAACACTGGGCCATGCCTTTGAAATGCTTTTAATTTATCATGTACCTTGCTTGTTAGGGTGAGTATGTTGGCGTTGTGGGGACATTTCAGCCACATTTCTGCGTGTGAGAGAGAAGGGATAGGTAGGGTAGCTCAGGAGAGGAATACCCTTGAAGGGGTGTGCCTGGCAGGTAGAGCCACAGTCCTCTGATGCCTCCTGTTTCATTAACAAGGCCAAAATCTGAAACATCTCTCAGTCCAGTTTTGAACAACAGATAAGCTGCTGTTACTTTTGTAGCCTATGTATGTTAGTGCATTCAATGATTTCTTCTCTCTTCCGTATTTGTTTCCTAGGGCTGCCGTAACAAAATACCACAGACTGGGTTGCTTAAATCAGACATTTGTTTTCCCACATTTCCAGAGGCTAGAAGTCCTAAATCAGGGTGGTTTCATTCTGAGGACTCTTCCTGACTTGCAGATGGTTCCCTCATGTTTGTCCTCAAATGGTCTTTCCTCTGTGGGTGCATACCCCTGGTGTCTATTTGAGTCTAAATGTCTTGTTCTAAGGACACCAATCAGATTGGAGTAGGGCCCACTCTAATGGCCTTGTTTTAACTTAATCAACCTTTTTAGAAAAATGTTTATTTTTGAGAGAGAGAGAGAGCAAGCATGTGCAGGTACATGAGGGAGGAAAAGGGGAAGGGACAGAGACAGAGGGAGACTGATAATCCCAAGTAGCTCCACACTGTCAGTGCAGAGCCTGACACAGGGTTTGGACATGGGGCTCAGACTCACAAACAAAAATCAAGAGTCAAACCCTTAACCGACTGAGCCACCCAGGTGCCCCTAAAACTTTTTAAAGGCCCAGTCTCCAAATACAGTCATATTCTGAAGTAACAGGGGTTAAGGCTTCAAGGTATGTATTTTGAAGGTAACACAGTTTAGCCCATAACACTTCCTAAATATCCTTCTTTTCCTGAATAAGTAAGTATTGGCTTTACTAGGTAATAGGTACTAGAGCTTATGTCCCAAGCCCATCAAGAGTCAGAGAGGGAGCATGGAGTCAAATCCTGGCTCTGCAACTTCAGGGGCACATAGTTTAGCATCTCTGTATGTCTGTTTTCTTATCTGTAGTATATCTACTTTGAGGATTATTGTGAGAATTAAAGATAAAGTATATGAAGACTTTCAAATAAATAATACTGTGTTAAAAGTAAGAACCTGAACAATGGATAAGCAATAAGAGTAGGCTGGTCAGTTAAACAAAGGACTTTTCATCCATTCAGCTCCCTTTTTTTCCAAAGCCATCTGTGTTACCATCATCTGTCTACTGCGGTAGCCTTGTGAGTATAAAAGTTTACTGTGTCACCAGTTTGTTTTACCTATCCAACTGCCACATGCATATTACATTAGTAGTGTAATGGGGTGAGGTGGGAGAAGAAATATTTCTTCTTTCTGGAATAAAATAAATTATTCCCAGCCAATGGTTGTTTCTAAGACCTTCTGAAGGATACGATTTTTCACCAGACTTGAATAAGGCATTTCTGTTACATCAGACTGCTTTTTCTACTGTGTCCTTAGAAATCCTGGGTTTCTGTGATATTAATTGTGGAGTTCCTCAAGTCTGTCGTTCTCTCAGCACTGTTAATACCTTCACCTCTCTTTCTCCGTCTTAACTGTGTGTCCGTATACAACTCCAAATTCGTACAGGGGCACCTGGGTGGCTCAGTTGGTTAAGTGTCCAACTCTTAGTTTCAGCTCAGGTCATGATCTCACAGTCTGTGAGTTTAAGCCTGGGCTCACATCGGTCTCTGTACTGACTTAGGATTCTCTCTCTCCCTCTCTCTCTGCCCTTCCCTCACTTCTGCTGTTTTTGTCTCTCAAAATAAATAAGCCAAGCTTAAAAAAAGAACAACCAAAATTCCATGGGGTAACTTAATGGCTCAGTCTTTGGAGCGTCTGACTTCAGCTCAGGTCATGATCTTGCAGTTTGTGAGTTTGAGCCCCTCATCAGGCTCTCTGCCATCAGCAAGGAGCCTGCTTTGGATTCTTGGTCCCCACCTCTCTCTTTCTGCCCCTCACCCCCTCCAGTAAAATAAGACATTTAAAAAAACAAAACACCTCCAAATATGTGCATGCAGACTTACAAACTCCACTCTTCCCCCATTCATTAAGACAGATATGATGGTGAGGGATTGGCTTCCAGGTTTTAAGTTGGCAGTGGGAGGAGAGCACCTACTCTTTTTGCCCTTGGCATTCCAACTAGTTGCTTCATTCTCTCCCCCTGCACAGAAAACCCTGAAATCCTGTCTCCAGTGATTTCTGTGCAGAGGTAAAACACAGCTGCCTTCCTGGCTGCCTCGCACAGTACAGTGTCCTGTGTGTGGCACAAGGAGGAAGTGGCTTGTTTTTTTTTAGTGTGTGATTTTTCTCTGAAAGTGGATGTAACAGGAGTGAGACTACTAAAACACATCTCATAGAATTATTTCATTGTGTCACTAAACCTACTCCACCTGTTAATTGTATTAAAAACAATATTTGCTGCTAAAAGATAAATATCAAATTCAAGTGTTCTCTATAAAAACATTTCTTACAAATTTGATGGACTCTTTTGAACAAATATGTTCCTATATATCTTTATAGTTTCTTTGTAAGATGTTGGGTTTCATGGGCCATTATCTCTCTCTCTCTCTCTCTCTCTCTCTCTCTCTCTCTCTCTCTCTCTCTCACACACACACACACACACACACACACACACACTCTTCATAGACTTACAGATTTCTTCTCTAACCTGCTGCAGTTGTTGATATTAGCTCCTTTACAGTAATCTTGAGAAAGATGTTTTAAAAATTAAAGAGAGAAAGTGATTAATTCATCATACTACGATACCTGGGTTTTGAAATTATGTACTGGGCCGTGTGCTTTCTACAAATTACTTCCTTGAAATCTTTAGCACCATTGAGTCAGGGAGGAAAAAACCCAAAACAGTTCCTTGACTACCAATAGGTATTTCCCACTGAATTAATAAAGGATATCCTGTTCTTTCTCCCCATTAATGAATTTCAACTCTTTCACTTATATAATAGAAAACAGAGCTTTATTGAATTTAACTTTATTTCAAAACAAGCCTTTTTTGGTATAGGATCTCCATACCTACAGTGCATAATAACCCAGGGAGTTTCTAAGTTTGTGAATTTCTGTCCAGAGCTCTTGGATAAAGGACTCCAGTATACTGCCAGCTAATTCATTTAAAAACTATTTTTCCCACCTCTGTTTGCATTATCTTTTCTGTGTGTTTCCTTCATTCACCTAAAATACAGAGTGAGTTTTGAAAAAAATTAAAATGAAATTTCCTACAAGTTTTAATTTTTCTTGATTCAAAAGTACCAAAATAAGATACCAGGATAAGTTAGAGTAGCAATGGGCTTCTTTACTGGTCTCATAAATGTTTATGTTGGCAGAAATTTAGTTTGTTGCATTTTGACCCTTTCCCACCATACTAGAGCAGTAATTCAACCATTCATGGAATTAAAGCTTCAGCCAAAATTTTACATAGTCCTGGAAATTAACAAGTATCACTAGAACATACCCAGTAATGGCTTAGGTAGGTAGGTGTATGGGGGTGAGGGGGGAGTGCTGCCTTCTAAGGAGAAGTGTTACTGATAGGACTTTGTTGCCTTTGTAAAAACTGGAGACATAGTATAGAGGTGGAGAACTATAGTACTAAATCATTTCTCTTATTATTTGCAAATGAGTTGTAATGCCTGTAGTCTAGATGAAGACTTTATTTCTAAACCACTAAGGTAGAGTAGTACAAATAAAAAATAGTAAACTATATTCTAAATGATTTTAGTAAATATCTAGTGATAATCCAAGACAAGTGGAATGTTTTTTCTTTCATGATGGGGTGTATTTGATTTGTGTATTTAAGAAAAGAGATGGGCAGATTTTAGAAAGGTAATGCATTAAGAATTTTTTCCTTTACTAGATCAGTAACTTTTACTTCCGACAAAGCCCATTTGTTTAAAAAAGCCCTTTAAAAAAATCCAATGTTTCTTAGTGTGTCTCGTAAGCATTTGGCAAGGAGATGAAGCTTGATGAAT